CATCAGATCAATGACTTGGAGGCTCTCTATGGAGTATTTCACCCAGGGCTGCCACATAAGGCTTCCTGGGTCACACAGTACACAACTCCAGGGAAGCAGGGCTGTAATCCCCTAAACTGCAAAGTGAATGGCACAGCCCAGGACTTTACACCCCATCAAACTGAAAAACAGGATTGGTATTGATTATTTTGGCTGAGAAAAAGAACAGGGACTTGGTCAGTAATGTAAAATCCCCCTCAAAAAAACTGGGGTCTATAGGCAATTGCTATGATTAACATATAATTAATATAAAGTGAAATTTAGAAAGAAAAATATTAAAGCCACAACAGCTAAATATCATTTTAAAAATTTATGATATTTAATGTGACACAGGCTGGGTTAGGCCCTAAATATCATAAAGGCCCATTTTAGAAAATAAATCTATTAAATGAAGAAATAAATTTTACCATCATGAAATAGCATAAGAAATCTCAAGGAAGTAGAGAGCATCCCCTGACAGGATATTTCAATGCTGTGGGTATGAATACACATAACTTTGTAGGTTTGGTGGTCAAAAGTTGAAGGTGTTTTCATCTGATGGCTTCTAGTTTCACTACTAAGTTGGAGATTAAACTACCTATAGGTATTTAAAGAGAAATGATGGGGTAAAGAATGACAGCTTTGAAATAACTACTGGAAAATATAACAGAACTGATGAAGGAACTAGAGTAACCACTGGGGTATTGTAAGGATTAAATAAGACTCTGTAGGTAAAATGCATGGCATGTTGTAGGCACTCAATGTTCACGTCCTTCCCTCTCCTTCCACCACTTTTAGTGGAAGAAATTTTCTCATTCATATTTGTCTCCTCTATCATTGGGCATATTGGATGTCTAATTTTTATTGAATTAGTTCTAAGTCCTCACACACAGCAGGTGAGATACATTTTTTGGAATTGCACTGGATCCCATCCTTTCTGCAGAATATTGCTGCTATTGTCAGAGAAGTGGCCTGGTGCAGTCAAAAAAAGTGGTTCTTTTTTTTTTAAATATTTCTTTAGTTGTCAATGGATTTTATTTTATTTATTTATATGCAGTGCTGAGAATCAAACCCAGTGCCTCACACATGCTAGGCAAGCACTCTACCACTGAGCCACAACCCCAGCCCAAGAGGTCTCTCTTGATACCAGACTAACTAAACTTTATAGACCTTGGATCCTCAGGTCAGGAAAAAGCATCATGACCTTTGCATTTCATGCCATTTACTCCAGAACTCAATTTCTCCACCAATTAAACTGGGATATAATACTGAACCTATAAAACTATCTTATTAAGATAAAACAAAGACTGAAAAAACTGCTGTGACCATTTTGGCAGTTAATTTTGCACAGTCTCACATGCCATAAAAATGTTCATGCTCATTGACCCAGGCATCCCATTCCAAGAAATATATCCTACAACAGAGGTTTCCACCCTTTTTCTATTAGCCTATCCAGAATGTTCTCATGAATGCATGAATGACCTATTCCTAGATCCTGAGCTAAAACCTGTTTAAGCTAAGATGTGATTGTGTACAACAGACTTTACTTTCTTCTTCTTCTTTTTTTTTTTTTTTTTGGTGTGTGTGTGCCAGGAATTGAACCCAGGGGTGCCTCAACACTGAGACACATCTCCAGTTCTTTTTTATATTTTATTTAGATATAGGTCTCACTTAGTTGATTAGGGCCTCGCTAAATTGCTGAGGCTATCTTTGAACTCCTGAACCTACCACCTCAGCCTCCTGAGCTACTGAGATTACAGGCATGCATCACCACGCCTGGCACAAGGACCTTTTCTTGGCCCCTCAATAAGACTTGCCACAGTGAAGGAAGATATTCTGGGAATCATTTAAATCAAGTAAATAATTCACTAAATGCAACATTTCACCTAATAAAAATTTGGTCACATTTTCCACAACCCATTAAGATAAAGCTATTTGGGGAGAGCCAAGTTGAGAATAACCATCTTTATAAAATAACTCAAAAGAATGAAAAACGTTCATACACATGAGTTGGGCTGATGGGCAATAAAGATAGTAATAGTAGCAGCTCTTTCATGCTCATTCTTTCATTGCATCCTTATGAAAACCCATAAATAGGAAGGATTTGGACGTCTGGTCTCCTGGTAGAGCGTTGGGTTGTGGCCATGCAAAATAAGCTGAGAGCCAGCAGGGCCAGACTGGTAGAGCACTGCATGGGCATCTTGTGGCCTGAACCACTAACACCATCTGACTGTGAATCCTTTACTCAAGCTGCTTCCACAGTTGCTGAGTGGTTCAATAGAATCCTGGACAGGCATGCACATTRAAGTGTAGACAGTATGTGAAGGTCACATGTCTTACAGCATGCTGACCCTGAACTGGGACCAATAATGTTTCAGGTCCAAAAACTGGCCTTCCTCATATCCATTTCTGTTAAGCAATACTCCAGGATTTCTAGTCAGTCTTCACATTCACATACCAAGAATAAAACGTGGCCATAACAAGGCAAAATAAATATTTATTAGAAATCAAAAAGGCATTTATTTCTTCAATGGAACTAAAATATTTTCGCTCTTTTTATGACTTCTTTCTTGAAAATAGCTTCACACAAATGCACACAATATTAAAAATATGACTATAAATTACAACTTACAAGATTCAGGCATCATTGGCGAGAATGGGGTGACAATTCTGTGTTTGGAACCAAGTTCAAAGAAAAAAAAAGTAAATTGATACAGACATCAAGTATGGCTTACAGGCCTGGATAATAACCCATCCCCCTGGCCCCACCCAGAGCAGAGGATACAGTTCATCCAGCCTTGAGGAAGGAAAGGAATGTCAATAATACTGCACTCTCTTGGGCAGGTGCCTTTAAGAGCTAAATGGCTTCACAGTACAACCTGGCACATCCCAGGGAGGAAGGTAAGCACCCTATTTATTCCAAACAGACATATGATATAATGTCTACAATAACGTATTCTTCCTGAGGAAAACAGCATTGCGGCCAAACATAGCCTGAGCCGGGGGATTCCATCACTGGGAAAAGCCTTCCCCTTCAACGACTGAAATGTAAATCATGGAGTTTGAAGATATCCTGATAGGCTCAGGGGTTGGTGGGGTATGTATGTGTGTGTGATTTTTGTGCACAACTGTGTGCACACTTGAATTTTAGACTAGTCACAGGGATTATAGGGACAATGCTGACTGCCAAATGTGTCGTCAGAGCAAAATCCCTAGCCCCCGACATGTGCCAACCACAAAGATAGACTTAAATTTACCAAATAACTGTGCTAAAAACATTGATAAGGGAGATATCTGTGACATAAAATTTGGACATTCCAGCCTCAAAAACTCTGATATGATGTCCTCCGTGTTCCTTTCAGAGCTTTAGATTCCAGGTATAAAATTGCCCAATTATTTTTTTTTTTTTTGCCCCATTATTGACTAACCTCCCAGCTTTTGCCCAAGTGGAAAACGGTTTTACCCATTAAAAACTAAGTCAAATCAGTTCTGGAATTCCCAGATCCATAATGTACTACATGGCACCATGGATCCAATGACTGCCCTTCAAGACCAGCACATCTGTTCAGGATCAATGCAAGGAGGCCACTCCAGCTCTAGAATATTGATTTGTAGACTCTCTAGACTGAAAGGAATCTTAAAATTCCTCCTATTACTTTCTTTAACAACACCTTCAGTAAGTATTCACCCAGCTTCTGCTTAAACATCTCTAACATCTGGAGCAGGTAGGGACTGACTGAAACCAAAATCTTTCTCTAATTTTTGACTAGTTCTGCCCATCTGGAACACATCTGCTCCTTCTGCCACTGGAGACACCTTTCACTGAATACCAGAGGAGAGTGCTTTGTTGGTTGGTTGGGCTCTAGCCACCTGGGAAATTTCTTCAGTCTCCACCTCTGCCTCAAAACTCTGTGGAATTTCAGAGGACAGAAAATCTGAGGGTGAGGATCTAAAAATAGGCCCCAAGTCTTGGCCAAATCCTCCTCTCATGAGCCTTCCCCTTCAGCCTCAAAATTCACAGTGAACAAAATACTTACTACCGGAGCATTTCAGTCATTTTGCTAAATTCCCCAAGAAGAAATAACTGTTGTACACTAGTTGCCTCAGAGATTGAAAACCATATAAATAGAACAGCTGCTATTTCTGTCCCAGCTCAGAAGCATGCCCTATGGCAAGGCCCGAGGGGGAAGGAGCCAAGCCCTTTCACCCAGATCCCAGCACATCTCCTGCAGACCTCCTGTGAATAAAGAAAAGCTTATTATTGGGCTCTGGCCACCCTGAGGCCAAGTATATAATGTATATCCAGCCCCAAAGTTCAAGATCTACTTCTCAGCTTTTAAATTCACCTACTTCACCTAAAGTGATTTTCATTCAAAAATGAAATGTCTTTTCTATTTTAAAATTAAAACACTGTGTTAATTACACTACTAAAAACATCTCTTGGTTTGAGATGGTTTGAGCCCTGGGTTTCATTCCAAGGGTGGTTTCCTGTTACCTGAAGGTTCTAGAAAGGCAGTTCCACAGCTCATTCCCTTCCTCCTTCAGGATATCCGGTTTGGCTCAATCCCTTGCACATTCTGAGATGGGATCTAAAGTCTCCCACAAATTCACGAGACCCAGTCACAGTACTAAGGGAGATGGTAGAATCTGTGGTCTGGGAAAGACTGCCCTCCCTGCCCCTCAGGCCTGTGCCCCTTCCTCAACACCTGTCATCCCAGCCAAAATGATCTGGTCAAACCAGAGACTTCACCCAGACTTTAGGAGCCTCCTGGGCTCAGGACTGTGGGCCTACTGAACATCAAAATCCAAGTTGTTTCCCTCTTGGACGCTGACAGCTGCCTCTCAGAGAGTCACCCACTCTGCCTGAAGAGTTTTCTGCTTCTCTTCTTGTCCGCCACTCTGCACAGCCCCATGGCACAGAATCCAGGACCCAGCCTGCAGCATCTAACACCCCATGCTCACACCAGCTCTGGGTTCTGCTTCTACACTGAAGTTTCTGGAAATTCATCCATTTCGTCAAATGCATTGAGAGTGGTTTTGCTGTTGTTTCTGGAAGAATCTTGGATTTTGTTGATATCTGCTTTTAAAAAAGAAAGGCTATTTTAGATGTACATCACTCTGCATACCACATTTCCATGTCTTAGAGTACCACCTAATTTTTAAAAGTTAGAGTGATAGAGGCCSTAAGAACCAATTTAATTCACTCTCCCATTTTATAGTTGGGGACAATCGGGCCCTCAGAGTTGATATGCACAAGGTCACATGGTCAAAGAGAAATGGGCCCCCACCACCTCACAGCAACAGTACCTGTCCGTTTGATGGGTCCCGGATCTTCGTTAAGGAAGGAGACGTGGGTTTTCCATTCGGTCCACTTCACCTCATTGATCCTACAAGTATGGTCATCATTTTCACTACTTCACAATTACACTTCATCAAATGCAAACAAATAGACTGCATTCGGGATATCCTGGTTTCCATACAGCTCCCCTTCTGTGCATCCCAGAGATCCAGCACACCCCTACCCCATCCAGGCACACTAACCCACCCAAGTCCCATTTTTCCCTGGCCTGGAGGTGAGGTAGGAGTGTAGTGATGCCAAGGTGACAGAAGCAGAACTCAGGAAAAACGCTTGCTGAGGTACAGGACAGGGAGATGTTTAGGATAAGTCCCATTATCATGGCAACTCCACCACTAGAGGGCTTATCACATAGCAACTCCCACCACAAGTTGTGTATCCCAATTAGGTGGAAATAAAATGACCAATAGGAACAAGTGGGRCAGGGTCTCCAATCAGGTCCGCAGGAAAGACATGTAAGATAAGACTCTATGACATTGGTCTTTTTGAGCCATTTTTTTCCAAATCGGATGGCTCCAATTTAATGATSTACTTTCACTTTTGATAAATCTTCGCTAAGGCTGTTTCTCTTGTGTGTCTTGCTCAATTCTCTATTCAAAACACCAAGGACCTGGACCCCAGTTGGACCCTTCACCAGTAACAAGAGTGTCCAAATCAGACACTTTTTTTAAGGTGTAGATTACAGCCAGACATGATGGTTTTCAGGGGCTTGGAAGTGCCGTTAAGACAAGTAAGTACAGTTCCACTCAAAAAAGACGGTGATAGGGTCAGGAAGTCAGGTAGCAGGTAGGAAGAGACATGTTTATCCAAAAAGGTGGCCGTGGGATGAAAGAGGTCTGTTTTTAAAAGTCAGAAAGCTTGAGAACTATGGAAAGTACTCACTTTCTGTTTGGCAATGACAAATGTGCCCCCAAGTCCTATGGTGTCACATGAACCCACATAGTATAGACAGAAGGACAATATTTGCTATCAGGTTGGCAAATATCCTCAAAGTCAGACAGAGAAGGCCACGGAGACACATTCAAAAGAGCAGAGGGGGACCCCCCACCAGCCAGCCTCAGTCTCCTTCCGACTCCCTTCTGAAGCTCAGGCACCTCATCCCAGGCCTATGCCCACATAAGAGCAAACCCCACCTTCTGAGGAGCCACAAGGCAGGTGTGTCGTGGCAAGTGAGTGTCAACTGTGCTTCTCCACCACACCACTGTCCACTGACTCATCCCTCTGTCCACCCAAGGGCCTTCCCCTCCCTTACCGCAGGCACAGCCGGAAGTCTCCCTCTGCGACTTTACACAGCTCTCCCATCCGGAATCGGCTTCTCAGCCATTCTGGTAACATTTTCTCAAACTCCAAGATTGTCCTGGCTCTCTGGGGAAAAAGAACAAGCCTCAGCTCTTTGCTCAGAACACAGCTCCATAGGAACATGCACACGCGGGCACACACACACACACACACACACACACACACACACACACAAGTGCACACAACCATCAAACAGCCCCCTGCAGCCTCGCTGGAGGCTTAATACATAGATCCTGAGCTAACCTACAGAATTCAAACACAAAACAAGCAGAAAGTTTGAGAAAGAGATTTGAGTTCAATAATGTCAGAGATTTGATGTAAATAATGTCTCTGAAAGTCCAGGAGCCTCCTATCTGAAAATGTTAGGATCCTGGAATCTCATCTGGGGAAAGTTCAGAGGTCATGTGGTCCCACACCTCCTCCCAGGTCTGGAATTCCCTCTGCAGTTCTCCTGCTCATAATTTGCCCAGTCTCTCCTGAACATCTTTGACAGTCCAGTTAAGAAGGTCATAATGATTAGAAATCTTCTTGTGGCAAATCAAAGACTGTCTTCCCTATCATTTCCCACCCCCACCCCAGGTACCTCGTTTCTGCCTTCTGGGGCCACAGAAGGGGGCTGCTCCCTCTTTTCAAAGTAGCTTGGCAGATTTCTGAAAGAACTCTCTCCTTCTTCGACCCTAGTTTCAACAACCATTTCTTATGAGGCACAGTCTCCAGTCCTCTCCCAAACCTGGTCATCATCTCTGGACCCATCCTGTGGGTTGGAGTCCTCAACAAGGGAGGAGTGTTAAGGCCAGGATAAAGCACAGTAGAACTGTCATCTCCATTGTCCTGTAGCTTATACTTCTCTTAATGCAATCTAAGTCACACTTCAGCGTCCACAGAGCACACTGTTGACTCTGAGCGGAGCATCCCCATAAGGCTGGGTTTCTCTCATACGTGCCACATTCCCTACACCCTGTACTCAAAGAACCTGGACTAAGGCTTCCTCAGACCTGGTTTATGCAGATTCCCAGGCCCTGCCCCAGACCCAGCGGTGCTGATGGTGATGGATGACCAGGTGCTGAGCCAAGTCCCTGGGGATCTTTCCACACCGAGTCACTGCCCAGCTCAGCTCACCTGTAGGCGCCAGATCCTCTCACTCTCCTTGGAGACATTCTCCACTGTCTCTCCCATCAGGGCGATGAGCATGTTGAGGAGGAGGACGAAGGTGAGGATGACGTAGGTGATAAGCAGGAACAGGAAGAGGATGGGGTACGTGGAGTTCTGCTGGATGTTCAGGTCGCCCAGGCCTATGGTGAGCTTGAAGAGCTCCAGCACCGCGTCACTGAAGCTCCCGTAGGAGCTGCAGTCCTTGTTGTCCTCGGAACACTTCTCGATCAGCGAGGCCAGGGCTAGGAGGAACATAAGGGGATGCTTGCTTCTGCCTCTCTGGGTAATTACCCAACATTTGCAYGCGCGCATACACACACACACTGCAGACCTCTGCCTCTTCCCTCTGGACCCTGAAAGCCTTATCAGGCTGGTTTCTCCACCCTCAGCTCCTGCAGGAGCCTTCGTGCCTAACAGAGCCAAGCTCTTCTTTCCCTCCTCCACTCCCTGCTCAGCCCTGGCTCACAGGAGCACTCAACCACTGAGCCACATCCCCAGCCCTATTTTGTATTTTATTTAGAGACAGGATCTCACTGAGTTGCTGAGTGCCTCGCTTTTGCTGTGCTCCTATTTTTTGAAGATCATCCATCCAATCTCTGTGAACTCCAGTTTCCCCATCTGTACTACCGAGCTTAAGATGCTTGCCCGGCCTATTCTGGATTGTGAGGGCCAATGGAGACGAAGGATGCGAAAGTGGGCGGCAGTTGCCTCCGTGTGGATGGGTAAGAGTGACAGGCTGGGTCTCCCAGCCTTGGTTACTTGAGGCTTAGAGGATGGGGATATGATTCCCACTCGATCATRTTGTTGAGAGAAGTAAAAGATGCTGCTTAGAAAGCACTGAGAGCAACAGGTGCCCCACTCATCAGGAGCTGGTGTGATTGTTGCCAGGGCTGCGTGGGCTGTGTCATTCTGACATCTACATAAAGTGCTTTACAAATGCTACGATTATTTATGAAGCAATTACCTACTCCAAATCCAAGTAAGAACACGATATATACAAACAAGAACTTCAGGACATCATGCAAAATGACCTACAAAGAAACAGGATTCAAGTGTAAGGCGTGAGCACCTATTCACCATCTGCTGATCTCCTTGCTTCTTCCCTTCCTCTCCCAGCCCTGGGCCCTAACCCTGCCTTCACTCAGGCCATTCTCCCTTCCCCCAGCAGAACCCTCCTGATGCTCTAGGCTCAGCTCTGCCTCTGCCTTCTCCAGGAAGCCTTCCCATCCTGGAGTCAGCCCCAGGTTCTCTTCTCCCCCACCTCCTGAACTCAGGCCCTGGCTTACCCTCTCCCTCTCCCGATAGGGTCTCCTACCTGAAGTCCTCACCCCTCCTGGAGGCAGTGGCATGCTGGAGCCAGCTCATACCAGCTCCCAAGAGCTGAATGTTGAATGCTCATGAATTTTGTGAGCTGGCTGTTAGACAGTTAAATTTTCGTAAATTTTGTGAGATGTTTGTGAAACACAGTCATTTTTAAGAACTAAATCAAACTTTTCATTATAAGACGATTAAGTTCTGAGGATCTAACGTATAGCCTTAGACTGTAGTTAACAGTACCAATTTGTATATTTGAAATGTGCCAAAAGTAGATTTTAAATGTTTTCAACACATCGCGCACACACACACACACACACACACACACACACACAGAAACTAAGCAAGGTAATGGATGCATTAAGTAACTTGAAATGGATGATCATTTTGAGGTAGAAAACATAAGGATAGGTAGAAAGGAGACATGTCGGACAAACCAAGAGTCACCATGAGTTAAAGTCCACTTTACCATGGATTAAAAGTCCAGATTCAAAGGTCACTTTCACAAACTTCGGTCACAAAATAATTAAGTAAACCATTAGACTTTATTTCTTGAATCTGTCAATAACTTCTTTCCTGACCTGGATCTAAAGGAAAAAGAAGTCTGAGGATGTCTTTCTTCTACAAGTAGATTTATATTTTTGGAATCTGATATCTATATTTTGGAATCTGATTACTGCATCTACATTTCGTGCTCTTAATCGAGCGCTCAGTATTACCCCAGTGTAGTACTGTTTCAGTCCACAAAGCAGATCGATAAAACCTCCATGGGGAAATTATTAGCTATTTTTCCTCAAAAACAAAGAAAGGAAAATGACCCCTGGCAGGTAATATCAAGTCAGAGACCCAAAGAACTGAAAACACCCTCTTAGACCAAGTCTCTGCACTAGAGATTTGACATGTATAAATATGCCTAAAACTAGTCACCCTCACCCTGTCTCTCAGAATGTCTACTTCCTTCTTTATCTCAGTAAATTCCATCTGTGTGTCACTTTGACCCATCCTTAAATTCCTTTCTGCAATGACATCAAGGACCTTCATGGCCCAAGCTGACGTTCACCTCCGTGTTGGGGAACCTTCTCAAGACCCCTGTCCTGGTGACATTTCACAATGTGTGTATGTATGTGTGTATATGTATGTATATGTATGTATGTGTGTGTGTATATATATATATTCCTATTCTTCACACAGTACACCTTAAATTTCAATTTTATTTGTCAATGGTTTCTCAATATAGCAAAGGAAAAAGAAATCAACTTTTTTGCAAAACATAATATAAACATATTAAAAATAAAGATAATAAATGTTCAAAACTAATCATTCCCTGATTATTTTACTACATTTTACAATTATCGATGCCTTTGAGGTTTTTTTACCTCTGTTGTAGCCCCATGGTGGAAACACTACATAAGGATGTGTAACTGCACATCTCTTCCCAATTCTGTCTTTGGCAACATAATGTCAGTAACAGGAAATCAGCCATGCTGGAGCTTGACAGCAGGAAGAGTGGTAAACACTACAAATCAGATTGACTCACTGTTTTATTGATGTCTATGTGTATATTTAAATCAGTGATAGAGAAAATGTGAAGGCAGCTTCAACTTCAAAATGTCCATAGCTGTTACATTATAAATAGCCCACAAATAGCAACAAGATGGCCTTCCAGTATCTGCAAACAATTATCCTATTCAGGAAAGAAGTTGCCCAGCCATGGACAAACAAGTGAAGTTTCAACTTAAGTCTTCATTGTTTCATTCTCATCTTAACTGCTTATAAAATAAAACATAAACTGGAAYAACGCACATTTGTCAATTGCAGTTTGGCAACAGATGAAAGAATTTAATTAAAAACTAAGTATTCTTAGTGAGACTCAATTAGCTATGTGGAACTTATACTAATGCATATTGCATGCCATAAACGTATATGTATTTATACACATATGCTGGTTTACACGCACACACACACAAATACACACAGAGCAATTGTTTTATATTTTCCAGCACACCACTGCCCAGGGATGAGAACCTCCTTCCTTCACAAAGTGTGTCCCTTCTCAACGTCCAACAAGCCTGGGCATTGTAAGATGTGGACACTTAAAGTCTGGCCAAAAGCCAAGGAAGACTATGGCATTCGGGAGAAGGAGCCATGGATCGACTGCCATGTGTTAAGCCCTTTTTCTCTACAGACTTCAGTTTCCCCACCTAAAAAAGACGCGCCCTCTGAGGGCCCTCCCACCAGTGCAGCTCCCGGCATACCTTCTGGATCATGACGCTGTACATGCCCATGGACTGGAAGCCGCGTGTGTAGTAGAGCATGTTCGCCCAGCCCAGGGCCATGGCCAGCACGAGGCAGGCGAGGTACTCTTTGTAGGCAAACAAGTACAAGAAGACAGACAGTATCACAAGCATAGCTTGGATAAAACTGTTCAGGAGACACAGGAGACAAGGGCCTTACTCACTTCTCAGCATCAGGGCAGAGACATTCAAATCCCTCAAACCTTAAACCCCATGAACAGTCACCCTGGGGGCCCGGACTGACAAGATAAAGGCTGCCTTGGATCCATACATCTAAACTCCAGCCTGTTGAGGACATCGCCAGATGCAAGTCAGGACCAATCGTAGACTAGTTGTGACTGACAGGGACTTAAAAAAAAAAATACAGCCAGGTGAGATGGTGCACACCTGTAGTCCCAGAAGTTTGGGAGGGTGAGACAGGAGGATTGCAAGTTCAAAGTCAATCTCAGCAACTTCTCAGCAACTTAGCAAGGCCCTAAGCCATTCAGTAAGACCCTGTCTCTAAGTAAAATTCAAAAAAGGGCTGGGGATGTGGCTCAGTGGTTGAGTGCCCCTGGGTTCAATCCCTGGTACCAAAAAAAAAAATTATATATGTATATATATTTTTATATATACTTTACATACATTTATTCACACACACACACACACACACACACACACACACACACACACACACACCAGGGCTCCAGGAGATTCTGACATGCAGCCCAGGAGGATGTATGGTTTTTAAAACACCACATGATTTATGATTCCCATATATCATAAACCACTTGGGAGCCACTAGGCTACACCAAGGATGCAGTGAGTAATTACATTTTTAATCAAAATGAAAAATGCTGTGAACATTTATACTTAAACAATCAATCAAGTCCTTCAAAACCTACTCTTTTCTTTAAAAAAAAAAAAAGCTTTAATATATGCTAACCAAAATAAGTCAGTCACAAAAAGACAAATCCTATATGCTCCACTTATATGATGTACCCAGAGTAATCAAATTCACAAGAGATGGAAAATAGACAGGTGGTGGCCAGGGTGTCAGAGGGAAAAAGAGAATTGTTGTTTACTAGGTATACAGTTTCAGTTTTGTAAGATTGGTTGCACAGCCAGTTGGATGTACTTCACAATTTTGAGCTGAACACTTAAAAGTGGTCAAGATGCTTTTATTTTTATGTGCACTTTAGCACAATTACATTTTTAAAGTACAATATATACCACACATAGGATATCCAAACGCACTCATCAACACTGCATATACTCTGCCAACATAGGGTTAAAAACACTCTCCTGCTTATAACATCTGACAGTTTCCACAATTATAAAAAGCCTAACCATAATTAGGACACATAAAGCTTGTTTTTCTGGCAGAGTGGAGAACAAATGAATGATCAATTGCAATGGGAATGAAATGAGGAAGAATGTCTCCACCTTTCTCTATGCTAACAAAACAATAAAGAATCAGAAGAACAGGGCAATGGACTGAAACCAGTAGTTGTATAAATACATTCTTCTCTGGAATCATGCTTCCTCAAAGGTGACAGATGTGTATGCAACTTGCATGTGGAGCAGTATTGCACCTGGCCCATCCATTTTACTGCAGTATCTGGGTACCCCATTTGCCCACAAGGATGAAGAACTGGGCTCATGTCTCTGGAAGGCAGGTGCATACTTAATAAAATAAGTAGATATTTGGAAGCATTAGGCCCAGATTCAAGATCCCATAGACCCAGCCTCTTAAATGCTCAGAAGAGAGACTCCAGTCTGWGGAGCTTAGCATTCTTCATTCCAAGCTGCAGATTCTATCCCATTACCATGGCAGTAAAGCTGAATCAGCCTCTGTTCATTTAGTGACAGAGGTCACATGAGCCTTTGATGTTAGCTGCACTTGACCTCATTCAGAGAGGCTGCTGAGCTGGGCTTTCTGCCTGGGGACCTGTGGCCATCAAGTATGCATCAGTTGGGAGTAAAATGACTAGTGAGCTGGGACTCCTACTGGAGTGTCACTGAAGTGCCTTGTGACTTCAGGTGACTCGCTTCCTAGCTCTGGGAGCTTCAGGGGATCAATACATGAGACTCAGTGATTTCTCACGTGCTTTCTAGTCCTGATCTGTTAAGGTCCCAGATGGTAACTTTGCGGTACCATGCAACTAGGAGGGGCTGCCCTGGAATATCACTTTGTAAACAAGAAAACAGAACCATTACACCTTCTCAGGCTTTCTCTATGCTGCCTGCCACCTGAGGCTCWGTGACAGAGTGGACAGAGTCAGCCATCACTGTCACCAGATGGTTGGTGCTGTCCCTAAGGGTTTCTGATCTGCTCCACAKTTATGTGGCACATCTGTGTGCCCTTCTTACTAGATGCAAGAGAGGAGATCCCTGGTATGTAACCGTGGCAGAAGGCCTGGACATAGTTTAAATGGTGGAGTAGCTACTTCAGAGGGATATGGCAGCCACATCAGAGGACTTGGGCCCTGCCTTTGAGGTGTGACCAAGAGGAAAGACCTACTTACAAGACAAAGTGAAACCAGGCATCTGACAGGATGGAATGCAGATCCGAGGTTCTCAGCAGGAAGATGGCGATACCCTAGGGACAAAGGAAAAGAAAAATTTGTCTTCTGCATGCCGCTCACTGGAGGACCTCAAGGAGGGAGTTCACCCCAGGACTGAGACTCCATGAGAGGTGAGTGTGCAAAGGTCCAATCAAAACCCAGGGAGGGACATGGAAGAAGTCCTATGTCTAGATTACTGTAGGTGACCCCACAGTAAGGAGGGATGCTCCTTCAGATTTTCTTACCTCTCTAACTCCTGACCCCCATCCTAACCCCAGAACGTGCAAAGTTACATACTCACGACAGCTCCATTCTCCAAAAATGGCCTAGATTTCCAGCCTCTAAGCTTTTGGTCCTGCTATTTCCCACAACTACCCTGTATGATCCTGTCCCCGTGCCCTTGTATGGCACCCTACCCTACCAGCCTGATCATTGTCTTCAAGCTTCCCTCCCTCCCCCTGCCCCTAGATAAAAGTCCCTTCTTCTGCCCAACTTAGGGCACTTTTCCAAGTCTACTTTAAAATCTAGATGTCTGTTCCCATGATCTATCTCCTACCAAACTGTGAACCCAAAGAGGGTAAACTCCGTTCTTACCACCCAAGTCCTCACATGTAGAAGGTGCTCAGAATATACCTGTTGATTCATTGCTTGGATGAATGAGTGGATGGATGGATGGATTAGATAGATGCATGCACAGATAAACAGATGGAAGGATGATGGGGCTGGGGATATAGCTCAGTTGGTAGAGTGCTTGCATCACATGCACAAGGCCCTGGGTTCAATCCCCAGCACCACAAAAAATAAAAATTAAAAAACAAAACTGATGGAAGGATGCTTGGATGGAGGATTGAATGATGGTGGGGGTAAGGTAGCATGGGAACATGGATGCATGAATGAGTGGCTGGGTGGCTRAGAGCAGGTGGGTGGAGGATGATGGGTGAGGACAGGGAGAGGTGGATGCTCACTGAGTGGCTAGAAAGAGATAAAGGGTGGATAAACTGGACAGGTGGTCAGAGGGAATGAAGTAGGTAGACCAGGTCTGCCTTATTCACTTATTCCCWTGTTTTAACTGGGGCTCTAAGGCTTGGAAGGGAAATTTCTCCCCACACTCCCATCAGGAATGGCAGAGTAGGGCAGGATGGCAGCAGGCCTGCCCTCACCCTGCCTGCCTCACAGAACAGTCTGGAAAGGCTCAGAAGCTCACTCACCTCTTTCACAGAGATGCATGTGGCCCAGATCAGCACGAACATCCTCTCCAACAGCTACAGCCACGCCATCTTGTGCGTCAGGGCCAAGGGGTGTGGGAGGGCCTGTGGGGGAAAGTGAGGAGGGGGAGGAGAAAAGTGAGGAGTGTGGGCAGCACCAGCTCCAGGGACCATGACACCCACACACTCCAGACCCTCAAGCTGGACCAGAGGCCAGCCTGGAACATCATCTCTGTAGAGAGCCTGAGAGGGAATGGAAGGCCCCTGCCCCTGCCTTCCCTACCCTTGGTGGGAACCAGAACTCCACAGTGAGCAGGATGAGCCAATCTGTGCGACTCCTCCACATGCCCCGTGGCATTCATCCTTCCCAGAACCCATCCATCACCAGACACTCAGCAGGACCTCTTAACATAGTCAACAAAGCCCATCTGTGCTCTGGTGTTGGGTGGGAAACCAAGGCCTGGAGTAGTGGGGAAGTTTGGCCAAGTGACCACACCCTCCTCCCACCTCCTGTGGCCCTCACAGCAGAAACACCCAATGCATTCTAGATTCAGATCAAAAGCCTGGACAGGGCCTGGGTTTCCTGATTCCCCAACTCTCCCCAACATGAGTTCCCCTGGGGCTAAGTGCCTGGAGCTTAGCCCTACTAAGTTCTAAAGACATTCAGTTCCCTAGAAACTTTGAAGGTGACCCCCACCAAATCTCTAAGCCTCTATGGACCTCAGTTTCCCCATCTTCCCAGGGACAGCTCAAACTCCTCCATGTCTGACCTCCCCATCCACCCGCAAGGTCCCACATACCCTCCTCCCAGGGACTTTAGCAAAAGATGAGTCAGGGTGATGTTGTAGAAGAAATAAAAGCAGAAGGACAGGAAGAACATGTATTTGGCAAATTTCTTCCACTTCATGTGCAACAGCGTATGCAGGGGCTCCAGGGTCAGCATCTCATGCCGATTCTGTGGGGAAAACACCACCAGTCACCATGGAGATGAGGAGACAGGGAAGGACCACTTTCAAAGGGCCCATCATGAGCTCTGAGTCAGTGGGGCCCTTGGCTGAAGGGACCCGTCATTATGCCCAATGGACTGGTTTGGCTGGAAATGGTGGAAAGGTCATTTCTGGCACCTGGGCTCTTCCCAAAGCACACAGACAGCAGGGAAATGCTCCAGGAGAGTGGGGCTTCCAGCCGGAGCATCTGTTGCACAGCAGGGAGGGAGGGCTAAAAAGGGGTTCCAATCCCAATCTTCCTCTTCACCGTGTGTCCTTAGGACAGCCCATGACCCTCTCTTTGCCTCAATCTCCTCATCTATAAAATGATAACAACCCCTGCCCTACCTACCAGGCTGCTGCAAGGCTCCAGGACTCCTTAGACAAGGCAGGCTCTGGGAAGCAAGACTTGGTAAAATACCAACAGACTTCTGTCTCACTTCTCCCAAGAGCTAAAAACCTCTCAGAGCTGATCCTCTCTATTCACCTCCAATTTCACTAATCTCCTACTCCAACCTCCTCCAGGAAGCCGTGCACCCCCAGATCCTCATGTGGAACCAGGTTTGGAAGGAGAGAGGATTCCAAACCAGGCCATATGGACTATATTCACACCCCAAACTTCCCAGGATTCTGGGACCCAGAGACCCTTCACCAAATAGGATCCGCAATCTGAGGCTGACTGGGAATAGTTGAGCCCAGCGTGTCCCCAGCCCCCAACCCCTGCTTCCATGTCTAATTCTGCTGCTGAGAGAAAGCCCTGGGGACTCCAGGCACCATGGGAACTAGCGGTCTGGGTCTTCCTAGTGGCAGACTGAGGTCCCGCCCTAGTTCCCTGCCCCTCCCAACTGCCCAGGAGACGCACATCGATGTTGGTGTTGTAGACGGTTATCTCCAGCACAGAATTATCTGCAGTGGTGTCCACGTTGGTGAGGTCATACAGTGAGGACGACACAGGGCCATATGCCCAGTCAGTAAACTTCCTTGACAGGCTCCGGAGCGGCTTCTCCTTGATTTCACGACTGAGGATGTACTTCAGGATCTGGGGACAGGAAGGGGAACAACTGTCAGCCACAGGATGGGGCTTGGACCCAACAGGGCTGGGCCAACCAGAGGCAAGGCAGGCTCCAAAAGATGCTTCCACCAAGATGGTTTGAGTCTCGCATCTGCATCTGATGCGGTGACCCCTGGACCCCTGCTGTATCTGTGGAATGGGTGGGAAACTTCTGGTTCTGTCCATCTCACTGGGGACCAAAGATGTGAAGGCCCTTCACGGGCTACACAAAGCTGCACCATTAACTCCTCCTAATCCTTGCACCAGCTGGGGCTCCAGTTCAGTGAAGAACCCAGGAATTGATTTTTTTGTTTGTTTGGTTGCTTTTGTTTGTTTGTTTTTGGTACCAGGGATTGAATCCAGGGGCCCTTAACATCCTCAGCCCTTTTTTTTTAAATCTTTATTTCATTTTTATGTGGTGCTGAGGATCGAATCCAGGGCCTCAAGCGTGCTAGGTGAGCACTCTACCACTGAGCCACAACCCCAGCCCCCTCAGCCCTTTTTTATATTTCATTTTGAGACAAGGCCTCACTAAGTTGCTGAAGCTTGCTCTGAACTCATGATCCTCCTGCCTCAGCCTCTTGAGCTGCTGGGGATTACAGGAATGTGCCACGGCACCCTAATGGAATTGATCATTTTTTGGTAACAATTTCCAGTTGGCTTGGACTTGAGAAGAAGCTAGAAGTTGATGTCCAGTTTCTCATTCCACCCTCAGTCAAACTGAGGCTCACCACTCTGGCCAGCTATGGGGTCAGTGATCCTCAAACTCTGCTGAATGTTAGGTGTCTGGGGGAATTTTTAAATTCCCAAATCACCGCCAACTACTGAAAGCTAGTGTGGGGAGGGTAGACCAAGGAGACTACTAGGTAGAGGTGACTGGAGGGCCACCCAGTATCCAGCTCACTACTTCCGGAAAGCTGAGCCCTGGGTTACTCAAGTTTGGAGACTAGGGCTTCCTGGGTCAGGAGCCCAAGACATAATAGGAGGTGCTGTTGGGGTGGGAGGTGTCACAGCATGGATCTTGCACGATCTAGCAATATTCCCTTGCCATCTCTCGTGGTAACCAGTTCTCCTCAGCCCACATAGAGAGCTCCTAGGACTGGGTTTCCCCACCACACAGACAAGCCTATAAAATCCCCAAGGGCAGGTCTGCTTTAGTGTCACGTACCCTCCACTCCCTAAGAGTGGCTGCCCTAGGCAACATCCAGGAAAGGAGTGGGGAGGGGTACAGGCGTCTCCCCTAGACTGGCCTCCACAGGGAGGCTCTGCCCTGAGCTGGGGTGGCAGGGAGAGCATGTGCCACCGTGTTATGCAGAGATGAGACCCTGGAGGAGGTTAAATCTGAAACCACAATCTGACTATCAAAGCCCCCAGAAGGCTGTGACCCAGGGGTGGGGAGGAGAAGGGGGAGGCGGTATATAATTTTTCCTCTGTTGAAGCCATTCCCATCTCCTCCTCCCCCAGTAGGAGAATAAAAAGGTCTCTTGTGGTCCCCAGCCCTGGCCACTGGAACACCACCCAAAGCCCTCAGGGCAGCTGACTAGGGAGGGGTGTGCACAGCTGGGATTGTTCAAAAGCACTGTCTGCCCTGCAGTCTCCTAGGAGCTGCCATCTCCTCCCAGGCTCAAAGGCTGAGGAGCAGGCTTAGGCCTCTGAATCTGAGCCCTGGAAAGAACCTGAGTTCTGACCTTGGAAAAAAGCCAGTTCTGGGCCCAGACAAGTCGTTCTGGAACACATGTCTTCAGGAGAGGCCTAAGGCCCTGAGGGTCAGACATTCAACTTCTGCTTGGGTCCAGCACCACACAGAAATGCTCAGGCACAAAGCATTTGAGACATTGTGTCATCTCGACCCCAGCTAGGAAGTCCCARGAGAAGAGAGAGAACAACAAACTGTGGCATTGAAATCCAGAGGAGGTGCCCACATCTCACTAGCTGTCACTCAAAATAACCTGTCCCAGGCCACAGCCACACTCTGCATCTAAGGCTGGGACCTTCCCAGGGCTGAGGCTATGATCTGCGGGATCCTTAGGAGGGCACCAGCACTGGCAGAGTGGCAGCGGTGCCTCCCCGACCTCCCACTGCCCTGGCCCAGTGGCCCACCTCGGCCTTGCCCATCTTAGCGGCCAGCTGCAGTGGCGTGAGGCCGTCATTGTTGCGGGTGGTCTCCAGCTCCCAGGAGCCGCTCCTCAGCAGGATCATGTCATACATGCGCTTAACAAAGTCATTCTGGGTCTTGAAGTCCTCGGCTACCGTCACCAGCGCGTGTAGGATGTTGTTTCCCCGAGAGTCCTGCGAGGCGATGTCCGTCTGCTCGTTCTCCATCAGCAGCTGCACGATCTCGGGCTGGTTGGTGCATGCCGCCAGGGCCAGGGGCGTCTCACCTGGGCCAGAGGAGCACTGGGACTCAGGTATCTCAGAGGTCAGAAGCAGTGTGCCCAGGCCCCAGGGGTCCACAGCCTGACCGTCCCAGTGGCTTTGACACCTGAGGTTCCTTGATGGTCTCTTCCTCTCCCATTTGAACAGAGACTGAAGCTCTACTGATGCTGTGGCCTTCTAACCAACCTCCCTGCTTCCCCGCTGCCCTCTAACACTGTGCCGCCATTAACATGTGAATCCCACCTTCCCAGAATGAAAGCCCCAGTTCCAATGACAGCCCACAAAGCCCTGCATCTTCTGACCTCTCCTCCTCTATCCCTCACTCCCCTCCAGCCACAATGGTCTTCTTCCTCTCCCTCTAACACACTGGGCATTTTCCTACCTCAGGATTTTTGCCTGAGCTGTTCCCTCTGCATGTAGATTTCTGCATTGCTCACTCTATCACCTGCTGAAGTCTTTGTTCAAGTATCGCCCTCTCTGTAAGTCACCCTAACCTTACCCTATTTAAAATCAAAACCCATCTCCTCTCATCACAGTCAGATCTTCTGGTTCCTCTTTCCCTGCTTTACTTTGGTTTTTTTTTAATAGCACTTACCATTTTCTAACATAATGCATAACATTCTCATTTATAATGTTTATTATGGATGGCCTCTCTCCACACCTACAATATAAGTCCCATGAAGGCAGGGATCTTTGTTTTGYTCACTGATATATTTCAAGCACCTAAAACAGTTCCTGACACAGATAGTATGTGCTCAATAACTGTTTGTTAAGAAAAGAGAAGGCCACTGACTCCCAAGTGGTCAAACAGCAAGGATGGGACAGCACCACGGCTGAAGGCCAAGGCTCCTGCCTCCTC